TTATTATTAATATTAATATTAATATTTTAGTCAGGTGAAACTTGCCTGATACTGGGAGAGCCTATGACAAGGTCCCTAGGTTTCATGGTGACATACATATGTGACCCCTCATGCGAGGCTCTATTGGCAGAGCAATGCAAGTTTGGCTCCAGTCAGTCAGTCACCCTCCGGTTTCCCATCTGGATAAGCTGGTATGTATCCAGGACAGGGTTTTTTTGTCTCTGATCTGGAGGATGAGCCAAGATGACGTGTGTCAGGGAGTTCCTGTCTCTCTCTCTCTCCCTTGCATGATCTTGGTAATGGTGGGAGCACATTTGGGTGATCTTCAAGCTCAAAGATTTGTGGGCCTCCCATAAGGCCAGATTGTGTATAAATGCTCTCGAGTTTTGTGCAATATTCTGTGCTTGTCAATAGTTCCTGCCTCACATTCAGGGCAAGACTGTCCAGGTGCTCACCAGCAGCACCACAACTATGTTTCATGCGAACAAACAAGGGGACACCAGATCAGACAGGAGGTAGTCGAGCTGTGGAACTTATGTGTTCAGAGCGCAGTCATTCTCAGGGCACCTGACCTGCCTGGTGTTCAAAATGGCCTGGTGGATCTCTTGAGCAGATACTTCAGTTTAGGCCACAAGTGATCTCTCAACACAGCCATCCTTGCTGTAGTGTTCTCTACAGGGGTTTGTACAATGGTGGATCTGTTTGTGACTTGGCAAAACAGGAAATGTTCCCATTTCTGTTCCAGGGTACGACATGGCCACAGGTCAATTTCAGGTACTTTCATGTTTCCATGGGCTATGTACCTCAGGTTTATTTTCAAGCGGAAAAAAGATTGAGGCAGAATGATCCTTATAACTGCAGCCTGACTGTGGCAGCTGGGGAGGGGGTGTCAAACTAGGAAACAAAGGACTCCTGCTTTATGCAAATCCTATTTAAGGGTGAGGAGTGGGGTATTCCAGGTCGTTAGTTCTCCCCTGCTACCCCACCCAAGATGATTGCTGGAAACAACTAAGACTGAACTGGGGGAAAGAACTGGACCCAGACTGGAAGGGTGTCTGGCTTGTGAAGAAAATTATTAAAACCACATTTAGGGTGAGAATTTACAAGTAACCAGTTTCTTTAGTGTATTAAGCTTAATTTGCGTGCTCTGTTTTATTTTTTTAGTAATCTGCCTTGCTCTGTCTGCTACCTTCTTAACTACTTAAAATACATCTGTTATAATTAATACATTTATTTCTAGTTTACAATATAACCCAGATTTCTAATGGTGGGGGGGGGGGGGGAGAAGTTGTCCATACCCTCCTCCACACTGAGGGAATAGGTGAATTTCATATAATCTGGGGTTTGTACTCTAAGGGGGTGGACATCTGGGTGCTGTGGCAAGCCCGTTAAGGTGAGCCTTCTCAGAGCAGATCTGTCTCTCTGTAAAGCTGGGTGTGGTCCTGCCTGTGTGCTTGGCTGGAAAAGGCTGGGGAGCCTAGCCCAGCAAGACCAGGTAAAAGGGGGTCCAGGCTGACAGAATAGTCTGCCTCAGTGGAGTCCCAGCACACCAGGTGACATCCCAGTGGGTCCAACCTGTCACATTGTGTATTCAGGAATCCTTGCCCTTGTAACCACAAATCTGATAATTCAGAATCACAGGTGAGGGCTGTACCCGGATCCTGACATGCTGCACCTAACAACATGGTTCATCAGTGGTTAAATGGAGAGGTGGCACGCAACTCAATGGCAGTCCAGAATGTCCTCCTTGATAGTAGAAAACCTTCGTAAATTGAATGTTTTTCCATCTGGGCAACCTCCCATGATATGTCGCTTACTCAGTCCAGAATTATTTGAATCAAAGCTTATCTCTTCTATCTTAAGGAACCAGGTCTAGCCCTCTGCCAGTTCCATAAGGGTACATCTGGCTGCTATCTCAGCATTTCCTCCTGGTAGAACTGTTCTTATTAATCTTATTGAAACCTGTTTTCTGAAAGGTGTAGATAGATTGTTTCTACCTATTCAGGATCCAGTGCCAACTTGAGATTTAAAATTAGTGTTTTGTGCTTGTATGGACCTCTCCGTTTGAGCCTGTAGCTTCCTGTTCACTTCTGCATCTGTCAGCAAAGGTGTCAGTGGGCTAGGAGAGTGGGTGCGCTATGTGTACTTGTCCCAGTTTCACCATACACCATTTTCTACACACTAAGGGCTTGTCTGCTCTGCTGCTTAAGTCGATGCAACTTAAGTCCCTCAGGGGCATGAAAAAGCCACCCCTCTGAGCGACATAAATTACATTGACTTAAAGCGGTGTCTATACTGTGCTATATCGGTGGGAGATGCTCTCCCGCTGACATAGCTTCCACCTCTTGTTGAGGGGGAGTAATTATGGCAACAGGAAAACAGTCTTCCATTGGCATAGCACGTTTTCACCAGACACGCTACAGTGGCGCAGCTGCATTTGTGCAGCTGTGCCTATGTAGCGCAGCAGCGTAGACTAACACTAAGCTTCTGTCTAAAACCAGAATATGCCACTATGTTTACCTGTTTACTTCATGCGGCGTCATGCTGACAAAGATGAACAAAGGCTGCACAGTCGATGTGCTTTGAGCTTTAGCTTTTTCCTGGACAGAACAAAGACCATTTGGGTTTTTCCAGCTATTTGTTTCCAATGAAGAATGAATGAGAGGTCAACCAGTTACAGCACAACTACTATCAGAGTGGATTATCAGCTGCATCATATGTGTTTTGCTGCCAAGGGCATAATGCCTCCTGAGAAACTGACAGCATGCTCTACTGGGGGTCATTCAGCTTCTGCAGCTTTTTGTGGAACATGTCCTTATTCTGGATATTTGTAGGGCAGCAATGTGCTTTTCCATCCACAATGCTTACTAGACACTAAGTACTTACTGCTGCACAAGGGAAGAAGGAAAGGTAGGGAAATAGTCATACAGTCCCTCTTCCAATGAGACTTGAAGCCCTACCACTTTGAGAACAACTTGGAAGTCAGCTACAGTGTAATGGACACATGCAACATATCTTAAACAACAACGGTTTTGAGAAGGTGAGTAACCATTTTTATTTTATTTTTTTGCCTACAAATACAAGGTTCATACTAAGTATAGTACTCAGTCACTTTCTGTAAATGCAGATAGATGGTTCTGCAGTAATGAGGGGGTGCAGTAGTCAAATGTTATAGTGTAGCTGAGATGTCACATGACCCTGGTCAGACTAAGCCGTGTATTACACATGCGAATGAACACATGCCTTTCAGTTTGTGTGCCTCCTTGGCCAGCTGGTTAACACATGTCTGTGTTTAGTTGCTTAGCTGTGCCTCTCCTGCAGTATCTTGCTCAGAGCAGAAAGCATCTGTGTGCACTGTCTGTCCAGCCTGTTGGAATCTTGCTTCCCAAAGTGTTTCCCCAGTAGAAGCAAACAGGAATCTAAGACAGGTTTCAGAGTAGCAGCCGTGTTAGTCTGTATCTGCAAAAAGAAAAGGAGTACTTGTGGCACCTTAGAGACTAACAAATTTATTTGAGCATAAGCTTTCATAAGCTACAGCTCACTTCATCGAATGTATGCAGTGGAAAATACAGTTGGGAGATTTTATATTCACAGAGAACATGAAACAATGGGTGTTACCATACACACTGTAACAAGAGTGATCAGGTAAGGTGAGCTATTACCAGCAGAATAGTGGGGGCGGGGGACCTTTTGTAGTGATAATCAAGGTGATCCATTTCCAGCAGTTGACAAGAATGTGTGAGGAACTGTGGGGGCGGGAGGGGGAATAAACAAGGGGAAATAGTTTTACTTTGTAGTGTATTTTCATCACTAGCTATTTAAACAGTCGATATTTTGAGACAGCTGATGGATCTCTGAAAGCTCATGAGGTTGAAAGCAGCCACATGGACTACTGTATAGGATGTTACCTGGTTCAGCTGAGCTGCAACAGCATCTGTAAGAGCATATCAAGAGAAACTTTTCTTTCAGAACCTCTAAGAGTTCATTTTGAGGCTTATTCTGTTTTAACCCCCAGGTGTCACTAGTGCTACATGCAGATGCTAATAAGGACTTAATCTGTACAATGGAGTCTAAAGAAGGGGAAATCTTCAGTTTTCTCATACTTGTGTCTCCAGCAAGTTACATTATGTAACCTTTCATATCTGTGTGTCTCTCTTTAAAATATGTCCTCAGGTGACATGTATTGTGCTCACATTTAAAATTTAAGTATAAGCTTAGATGCTTACTGACTGTTAATACTTTAATTCCCCTAATTTAACATAAAAATGGTTTTCCTAGTATAGATGGTCTCATGGGCAAGGAGATCTGCTAGTTTTGTGTTTGAGGTGGGAGGACAATGATTGTGTAAACTTTTTTGCCCTAACTTCTAAACTTCCAGGTGCTGGAGTACATAGCCAAGAGCCTCCCATTTATGTTCAGAAAGAATTCTTGAACTACTCAGGGCTACTCACTAAATTATTCCCACTGATGTTCAGTTATTTGATATCTGTAGTGATGGTTCTTTGAACATCTCCTTTTGGAGTTTATTCCGTTTCCCAGTTACTTTGACAATATTTTCTTGAATATCAAAAGCGAACTTTTCCTTCCTTTCTTTCAGTACATTACACCTAATCTTACCATCTTCCAAGATTGCAAATAATTGCTTTCCTTCATTGACATTGTTACTTTGAAAGTATTTTTACACTGTGCTGTTGCTCAAAGTTCTCTTTCGTAGATATTAAAAATATTGCTCCCTGTCTCTCATGTGCTCTGTTCTTGTCCTCTAATTCTTGAATCATATTCTTTACCATTGATTGTATTTTCTGTTTTGATGTGGGATTCTGACAGATAAATCCCTGCATATGACTTTGAAACTGTGGGGTATTTCCCTTTGCTAAACACTGAATACTCATGTTGTTGTTTTAACAGCTGTATATTTCTTGTAGGAACATAGTATAAAGCTTTGTATACCATTAAACTTTTTCATTCATACTCTTCTTAATTGTCTTTTCTTAATTAAGATTGAAAATCTCCAGGAACAGTTAAGAGACAAGGAAAAACAGATGAGCAGTTTGAAGGATCGAGTAAAATCCCTGCAGGCTGACACCACCAACACTGACACTGCCTTGACCACACTGGAAGAAGCACTTGCAGAGAAAGTGAGTGTAAAGGGCACAAGTCCTTTAAATCCAAAATTCGTTCTTCTAATCATCTCTGTAAATCCAAACTTCTTCAGTACTGCCTTGAATTCTAGGTAACAGAAGAGATACCTTTACAGCACAGCTGGACATTTACTGTTCTCTAGGAGCTGGGGGAGTATGGGTCTCCATCTGGATGCTGTTGATCCAGTCAGAGCAGCTGCTATTAGGCGTAATGGATTTCTCACTAGAAGACATCTTAGGATATTTTGACTAGCCAGCCATGTGCTGTTGACAGGTCTAATCTGCATTAAGACAGCAGTACAGTTCTCAATACATATGCTAGGGATAGGACTTAGGGGGAGGGCTTTCTGTAGCATAAAGTCTTTACAGTGGAATGTTGTAGGGAGTTACGTCTCAAGCTGCTACCCCACTAATTAGGTCCATCATATAACTCTGTATGAAAAGAATTGCTGCTGCTTGTACTGTGCTAATATTGTATAGCCCTTTGTGGAGTATTGATTGAGCTGTCCTCTTTGTCTGCGGTGCATCTTTAGCACTGCTGCTGGAAGGCACATTCTAGGTTAGAGGCCCTGGATTCTTTGCCTTTTTATGTCAGGTTAATGTCTTATTTTTATTTTTTCTTCTCTCATATGTTTCGTAGGTTGTTTTTCGTTTTGTTTTTTAAGTTCACTATCTGAAACTTATGTTTTTGGTTCTCAAAACTAAATCACGCAGAACTCAGTGATCCTGACTTAACTACAACCCAGTCTCCTTTCTTTCTTGTCCTGTTGTTCTCATTGCATTTTTCATTCTTGCATAGCAGCGGATTGTTGACTGAAGAAACAGCTGGGACTGTTCTGTTCCTACAGGGGATCTCTTTAGCATTAGTGCATATTGTGTCTCAGTTCCTTCAGGGACAGGGCCATGGCTCCCTCAGTCTGTCAGACTCTGAATACAAAGCTTTGCTGGTGTGCTTGCTTGCAGTTGGGGCTTATTTTATAAATAGAATACTCACATCACTTCACCTTTCAACCTTGATGAGCATCTGTTGGCGCTTGGTGTACAGAATTGTTTTTATTGCCAATCCCATCCCCACATTGGTTTCATGTCTCACATCGTGTATATTGCATCTCTTTCTGTCTGAAGGGCTACAGACACATCTGCAAACTTTGGAAAAATAGGAATTGTATAAGTAAGTGTGCAATGCATGGTGCTTCTTGCTGCCAGGTGACCTGACTGAACTTTGTTTAGTCAGCAGCTGGATAAATGAGATAATACTATAATAATATTATTAAACATTCAGAGATTGGAGAGTTTGCATTAACAAGTAGCCTGGGTCGTCTTAATCATAAAACCAGCGAAGTTTCAAGATATTTTCTTTCCTCCTGAGGTCTGTTGGAGGAGAGTAGAGAGGATCAGCAACATTCTGCACACTTTCTCCCCTTAAACTAATAAGCAGAGATGTGGTATGATGTCTTATCAAAAATAAGCAAAATTTTACCTGTTAAGATGATTCAAAGGGATTTTCATCACAGGGTACTGTGTTCTTTTGTAAGGAGCGGACTATTGAGCGCCTGAAGGAGCAACGGGACAGGGACGAGCGAGAAAAACAAGAGGAGACTGACAACTACAAAAAAGATCTTAAGGACCTGAAGGAAAAAGTCAGCCTCTTGCAAGGAGATCTCTCCGAGAAAGAGGTTAACGTTGCCAAAATTAATCTTCTCTGTTGTTAGTTGTTTGCTGTGAAGGGTGTGTGTGGGGGGAAGAGTATGTTCTATAAACTTGATTCTGCAACACGTTTATGCACTGAAGATACACTTGTGTAGCACATTTCAATGTGTACATGTGTCAGAACTTTTTGTTGTCCCATTAAATGATGTGGTTTGACCCTTGGCATTCCCAGTGAAGTTGGAAGTTGGTAAAGTTGTTGGCAACACTAATGTGGATCTCAGTAATTCTGGAATAGAGCTAGTTAGTGTCTATTAAATATACTGAAGGGGATGGGAGAAAGAGGAAGGATTTATTGACCTTATGCTTTAGAAGTGCTGCAGATCAGTGACATGTGAAACTGCAATCAGTAGACAGGACGAGTAGCATCTTCTCAGCTCGCCGCAACATATATGCCATCTTCTCATTAAGTATATGGGGTAAAGAGCACAAGCAGCTAAAATCTGTGTGTATGGAAAATTCAGATAAAGGTGGTTCTTATAGATTTTGCTGTATCTTCTGCAACTTTATGCAAGTTATATTTCTAGCCCTTGTGGGTGTGAAGAGCCATCTTGCTGTTGATAAAATGGACTGCTGTGTCATGTCTGTAAAGCCAGACTAATTAATATAATTGCACTAGCAGAAGTATAAATTTCCTCCATTCATCTCCAGGGGTTATACACTCAAATGTACCTACAATTTTATTCTAAAACCCCAATTACTACAATTAAACAATGCAATTAAACCATGCAATTTTATATTTATATATATGAAAAGTTGGGAATTATGGAGAAAGTGAGATGGGGTTAGTGAGTTCCACACCCTGAGCACTACCACAGTAAAAACAGGATCATCTAGTCTATGATAAAGTGGTTGAATCCCTTAAAGGCAGCTGGTGACTTATTTAAATACCTCTACTACTAAAATAATAATGCCATTTAAAAAAAAAACTTCAGTCATATCATTTCAACTGAATTTTAAGGGAGTTTTGACTAGGTTTTGTTCTTTACCCTGAGAATCTGAACTGAACCAAGCTGTCCTAGGTTATTTTCCAAAGCGGGAACCAGAAGTGTGGAAGTGGCAGGAAAACAAAGAAAAAAAAGAAATCTAAAGTCGTGGTATTGTGCCTAATGATCATTTACCCAATAGCAGCTGTGTTCTGCATGCTTGTTTTAGGCTTCCCTGTTGGATCTGAAGGAACATGCTTCATCTCTGGCTTCTTCAGGACTGAAGAAGGACTCCAGGCTCAAGACGCTAGAAATTGCATTGGAGCAGAAGAAGGAAGAGTGTCTGAAAATGGAAACTCAGCTGAAGAAGGTAAAAATTCATACTTGCTTCCCTGATTTACATGCATATAGGAAACTCTAGTGCAGTGTTAAACAGTCTCAGCTTTGCAATTCTTCCTTTTTCTACTGTACAAAATGAAGCAAACACAATCCTTTTGGTTAGCATCAACAAAGTATTGAGATACCATGGTGGGATTGTTCAGTTCTTTTATCCATAACCTGGGCTTCTTATTATACCCCCTACAGTGGGACAGCTGTATTCCAGAAATCCTGGAGGACCTCATCTATTTGCTTTCTGCTTCAGTTCTGTCTCTAAACCAAGCCTACCACCTTCAGATACTAGATCAATGTACCAATAATGATTATTGGGGAAATATTTAATATAGCTAAGAGCCCTATGTGATTGGTTATACAGATTCTTCTTCAAGTGCTTGCTCATGTCCATTCCAATGTAGGGGTGTGTGCACTGTGTGCACCTCCGCCAGAAAGTTTCCCCCTCAGTGGTATCCATTAGGTAGGGTCTGGTGCCCCCTGGACTGTGGTTTCTTTTCCCTGAATATAGTTAATAGATAGTGGTTAGTTGTACAGTTTTAGTGTTAGTTAGTGGTTAATAGAGTAGGATCCTGCTTACCGGGATTTCCCCTTCCCCGACACAAAGACATGCCTTGGTCTCCGGGGTTTCAGTTGTGTGAGGCTTGCCATAAGCCCATGACAATTAGTGACCCCCACTCTCCTTGCTTTAAGTTCTTGGGGGAGTCTCATCTGCGGGAGCGCTGCAGGATTTGTAAAGGGTTCAAACCTTGTACCAAAAAGGACGGGGACCAGAACTCAAGTTCCTTCTTATGGAGATGGCTCTCTGTCCCCCCACTTGGAACCAAATCATGCTGACTCTGCACTGAACACCTCTGCCTTGGTGAGAAGTGTACCGGCTTTTCTGAGAGACAGGCAGTGTAGCTCGGCCTCTCCAGCACTGAGGAAGGACTCCTTGTCTGTGTGCCAGGACTCTCAAAACTATCAGGGCTCTCTGGTGCAGAGGAGGTCTACGCCTCACAGGAGCACTTGGCACCGATCTCAGTCACCAGTGCCACAGAAGAAGCAAAGAAAAACGGACTGGGGGCACCCCCAACTCTAAGACTCATGAAACCAGCAGAGTGAGACCCGTGTTGGGCCATTCGGACTCAATCGTTGCCAGCTTAGTACTGTTGCCTCTGGCCCTTGAGTCTGGTACTGTTGGACTCTCCTCCAAGGTAGAGCCATCGGAGTGCAGCTCTAATGATTCCATCCACGCCAGGGGCGTTTGAGGCAGCAAGGGAGGACAGCGTTTGAGGACAGCAAGGTACTGTCCTCCCGGTACCGCCATCCCACACTAGGCATGAATCAGCTTCGGAAACGAGAGCGGCTATGGCACTGAGGCCCCAGGTGCCATCAAAGGGGAAAACTGGTGATGATGGGACAGGACCAGTCACCCCCCTTCCGGCACTGCTCTCAAGTACCAACCATTCTGTGGTCACTGAGGAATGACTCCTCGCAGTCAGATTCTGAGGTGGAATCCTACACCTCCTGCAGGAGCTGGCACTGGTCTGACTGCCAAAACCTGATGGCTGATGTGAGCCAAGAGTTCCCACCAGTGGCCTGGCCAGCACAGTGCAATAGCCTTTCTGGAATCTTTGGGCTTTCCATCCAGTCCAAGGGTCTCAGTTGCAGAGATTGTATTCCATCGCATCAGAGGATAGAGCTCCCCCACCACCTCCCTCAGTACGGGGATCAGGTCCTGGTACTGAGCCTGGCAATGAACTTCAGGACCCGGTACCACGGGATCCTTCAGGTGCCGAAGGACCTGGAACAAGGCCCTGTAACCATCATAACCTCTTCCTCCCCTGATGAGACGGTAGTGGGAACTTCAGTTGCTTCCACTCAGGACGACCACAGGGAACACCAGGAGTTCCTCAGGAGAGTAGCCCAGAACCTGGGGATCCAGGTGGAGGAAATCTCAGAAGCCTCCCATGCCCTGGTGGATATCTTGGCCCCTTCGGGCCCATCATGAATGGCTTTGCCTCTGAACGGTACCATTCTGGAACCTGTTAAGGCCCTGTGACAGACTCCAGCCTCCTTGCAACCCACGGAAAAGACGGTGGAGAAGAAGTATTTTGTACCCCTAAAGGTATTTGAATATTTATACACCCATCCTCCTCCAAGTATCGCTAGTGGTATCAGCAGCAAACAAATGAGAGAGGCAGGAACAGCAAGGGCCTCCCCCTAAGGCCAAGGACACCAAGGAGTTTGATCTCTTTGGCAGAAAGATCTACTCCACAGGGGAGGAGGGGCCTCCAACTTCGAATTGCCAAACAGGCACTCTTGAGACAGTGTCTGGATCCACCCTCCCCAAATATTGTGCATTGGGTGTCCCATTCTATCAGGGATGGGCCCACATCACCTCAGACTGTTGCATGCTATGCACGAAGAGACTGAGATACACCCTGCAGTACAGTTCTTCCCTTCTTTCCCACCCTCCCTCCCCATCCCTCTTCAGGGACCCTTCTCAAGAGCAGCTTCTACTCCAGGAAGTGCAAACGCTCTTGCAAGTGGGAATGGTAGAAGAGGTTTTCTCCGGAACTAAGGGGCAGGGAGGTTTACTACCCTTATTTCCTAATCCCGAAGGCCTATGGCAGTCTCAGACCCATCCTGGACCTGCGAAATCACAACAGATTCAGAAGAAGCTGAAGTTCTGCATGGTCTCCTTGGCCTCCATTATTCCCTCTCTGGATCCAGGGGACGGGTATACTGCCCTCAACTTGAAGGACGTCTATTTCCATATTTCAATCTTCCAAGGCCACAGAAGTTTCCTTCAATTTGTTGTGAACCAAGTACACTACCAATTCACTGTACTTCCATTCAGCCTGTCAGCAGCCCTTCATGTTTTCACAAAGTGCTTGGCAGTTGTCGCGGCTTTCCTAAGGAAACAGAAGGGTTCAGGTATATCCTTACTTCGACAACTGGCTGATCAGAGGGTCAGTCCAAGGCCCAGGTGGAGGTAGACATACTGCTAATACTGTCAACTTTCCTGAGGTTAGGCCTATTGGTAAACATGCAGAAATCAATGCTGTCCCCCATTCAAAGGTTAGACCTCATAGTGACAGTGCTGGACTCGTCCAAGCCAAAGCCTTTCTTCTGGAGGCCCAGTTCTGGGCCCTGCACTCGATCTTAGGGAGCTTCAGAAACCATTCCATCACAACAGCAAAAAGCTGCCTGAAACTCCGGGGGAATATGGCATCATGTACTTAGCGTGGTGAAACACACAAGGTTGCAACTCCGACCTCCTCAGGCCTGGCTAACATCAGTAAACCAACCAGGCCGGGACTTCTTGGACATGGTGGTCACACTTCCCCCTTCAGTGATCACCACCCTCCTATGGTGGATCGATCCGGAGACAGTATGCGTAGGTGTCCCATTCTCGAAACTGCAGCTGTCAATGTCTCTAGTCACCAAAGTTTCCACATTGGGTTGGGGGGCTCATCTGGGGGTTCTCAGAACCCAGGGCCTCTGGTCCCAGGCGGAGCTTTCACTACACATCAGCATGTGGGAGGTCAGGGCGGTGCACCTTCCCTGCCAGTCCCAGCTGGAAGGCAAATGTGTAGCGGTGTTTACAGACAATACAACGGCGATGTTCTGCAGACAGGGTAGAGACAGACAGGGTAGAGCATTCTGTCAACTCTGGGTAGAGCACTCTGTCAACAGACAGGGTAGAGTACTCTCCTCTCACCTATGCTAGGAGGCTCTCCATCTGTGGGACTTCTACATATCCCACTCAATCCACCTCGAAGCATCCTACCTCCCAGGGGCACAGAATGAGCTAGTGCAGCGGCTCTCAGACTGATGGTTGAGACCCCAAAGTGGGTTGTGACCCCGTTTTAATAGAGTCACCAGGGCTGGCATTAGACTTGCTGGGGCCTGGGGTCAAAGCCCAAGCCCCATCACCCCTGGCTAAAGCTGAAGCCTGAGGGCTTCAGCCCTGGATGACAGAGCTCAGGTTACAGGTCCCCTGCTTGGGGCTGAAGCCCCAGGCTTTGGCCTCCCCCAGCCCAGGGTGGTGGGACTTGGGCTTTGGCTTTGCCCCCCCATCTTCCCCCGCCTGGAGAGGTGGCGTCTCGGGCAGGCTTAGGCTTTGGTCACCCCTTCTGGGGTCATGTAGTAATTTTTGTTTTCAGAAGGGGGTTGCGGTACAATGAAGTTTGAGAACACCTGAGCTAGTGGATCACCTCAGCAGATCATTCTCCAATCACAAATGGTCTATCCGCCCAGACCTCGTGAAGGACATTTTCCAGAGGTGGGGAACTCCCTGGATAGATCTGTTCATGACCAGACACAACAAAGTGTCTGCAGTTCTGTTCTTGGCCTGGTCAATGCAGAAAGGGGTGTTGTCCACACAAGCATCAGTACCGTGTATTCTGGACTATTTGATGCACCTGAAGCAGCAAGGGCTATTGGTGTCTTCAATTAGGGTCCACCTGGCCGCAATTTCGGCTTTTCACCCATGGGTGAATGGCAGATCCATCTTTGCAAACTCACTCTGTAGTCGTTTTCTCAAGGGGCTGGACAGACTGTATCCCCAAGTGAGACAGCCGATCCCACGCTGGGACCTCAACATGGTATTGTCAAGGCTCACAGGTCTTCCATTCGAACTATTGGTAACATGCTGTCTACTCTACTTGTCCTGGAAGGTGGTCGTCTTGGTGGCCATTAACTTGGCCAGAAGGGTCTCAGAAATTAGGGCTCTTACTTCGGAACCCCCCCATACACAGTCTTCTTCAAGGACAAGGTCCAACTGCACCCTCACCCAGTCTTCCTCCCAAAGGTAGTGTCGCAATTCCACAATAACCAGGATGTTTTTCTTCTGATTTTCCACCCAAAGCTGCATGTCAACAGACAGGAACAGAGGCTCCATTCGCTAGATGTCAGGTGGGCTCTTGCCTTCATCATAGAAAGGACTAAATCATTTAGGAAGACTACTCAGCATTTCGTGGTGGTGGTCGC